AGCAGCAAACGCTTGTGATCTATGTAGCTTACACTCTGATGTCAGCTTGGCAGTGGGCTGCTGGTTATTAGACCCTGCCAAATACTTTCACACCCAGCACAGTGAACCTTTGTGTCAAATAGTGAGTAGCTGCTATTATTACCCCTCTGCTAAAGACATAGAACTCAGAGCTCAGAGAGGTTCGGGCCCCTGCCCAAGGTCACACAGCTCAAAACTACCTAACTGAGAGTCCTACCCTGCTGTGTCTGACTCTGCAGCTGGAACACCTAAGCTGACCAGCTTTGCCTCCTGAAAGAAGCAGGGAGAGAAACACCTGTCAGGAGTTGCCGTCTCCTGCACTGGATTTTTAAAAAACCAAAGTAAAGCAGAAAAACCCATTTTGGGGGCACTCACCTCTCACTTCTTATCTCTTCAGCAGTCCTCTTCTGCCTGCTCTCTTGCTCTCTCCTTGTTTCCTTTCTTTTCATTTTTTCTCTTTCTTTCTTCCTCCCCTCCTCCCCTCTTTTACTTTTAACTAAGCACTCAGTTAACAAGTTAGCTTTGTGAAGCTCGGGTTGGTACCTGGTGACTGCAAGCGCGATAAAGAAATCAGCCGCCACCGATACAGAAGTCAGAAAGGTTTAAATCAAACCATCCTCCACAACAATGACATTAATTATGCTTTTAACACGTTTTACTGCTTTTTTTCTCACTTCACGCCACATCTGTGTGAACAATATCCAAAAGATTTACGGTTTTCTTTCGTAATTACAGACATACAGGCTGCACACTTATCAAAATACTTGCTGAGCAATCACGCCATATCGTATTCTCTGCCAAAGATCTGTGCTGGCAGCAGTCATTCAAAACAAAAATGTTGAATCAGGACTTGTGTGGCTTTGGAGGGGGGTGGAAAGTATTTCGACAAATAATTTGCCTGTCAAGAAATATAAAAACAGGAGAGTGTGCATCCTGGCAAATTTTCCAGGAGTGTTATTTTTTTCTGGAGGGGGTTAGAACAGCGTGTGTGTGTGGGGGGGACAGTGCGCCGGGAAGCTCCCAGCACCAAAAACACATCTGACATTTGGTTCTTGTGTCTGAGGATAAAATTTAATGAGAACAAAAATATGTCTTCCTAATTCCCCTAAGAAATCATTAAAACATTTTGTTATTCTTAAATGTCTCGAAAATGAATTAGAGCCCCTAAAGGGGCCGTTCGAACAGTATGTCTCCATCAGTTAAGTCTCCTTGTTCTCCAACTCAGCGACAGCTAGGGACGTACGTCTCCCCCGCCTCTCCATTTCTGGGGAGCAGAGTTGCGAAATCAGATGCGTGGAGTCAGCACCAGACTTGGAAAGACCCCTTTGGGGGGAGGGGCAGGAGGGCACGAGGACCTTCTGGAAAGCTCTGCACCGGTCTTGGGAACTCTCGAAGTCCCTGGCTGGCACTCTGGCCCTGTGATTGTGTTAACCGCCCTATCTAGAGAAAGATGAGGGTTTCACAGTGAACCCTGGAATTAATGACTCTTTTCCAAGCAGGGGCCATAGCCTCTCCTCACCCTCAAGCGCTAGGCTTGCTGGAGCTCCCCTAGGTTTGCCATAAGCATTCGAGGGATGATCTGGTCACCTGCCGGCGGCATGCAAGCTCCCCGAGGCCTGGGCCCCTGTCTGCATTTGCAGGCTCATGGTTAGGTTCTCAGTGTCTAGCAAGTGCCAGGCACACAGCAGGTACTTAATAAATGCACTTAAATAAATGTAAATAAACACGTGATAGGCAGAGGGCTCCAGGTGAAAGAGCGCCTTGTCATTCAAATAACCCTTCCCCCCATTTCTGCACGTGAGTCTTGTTTCTCGTTCATTCAACAACTATTAGGTGCTTACTGTGTATCAGGTTCTGGGTATACAAATCTGATATGACCAGTCAGTCCCAGGCTTAGAGAATTTCACTTCTAGGAAAGCCAGACACATACATGACGACAAGTGTAGCCCAGTCACCAATTTATACAAGAGGAGGCTGGGGCTCTCGAAGTCAATTAATTCATCTGCAGTCACCCAGTGAGTGAGTGGTCTGAGTAGGACTCCAGCCTGAGCCCCGAATCACAAGCCCGTCTCAGTGCTGCCCCCTGGTGCTACAGGGGAGGTACATGGGGTCTAGGGGAGGAGCCTTGTGTGGAGACTCCTAGGAGACATTTTTGGGGTCTATTGTGGGTCACTTTCCAATGTCACTTGTCGCTGATCTCGTGGGACCTTAAGGACTGAAAAATGATGGTAAATATGAGGGTTTATTTTCCCAATTATTTTTTCCAGATAGCTCTAATGAGGGTAGAGATATAAGCAGAGCATCTGCTACATGCCCAATGTGGTCCTTAGTGAGGGGGACAATGGCCAGGGCTGCAGACATGGCCGTCTTGGCCTCATGGCCCGGGGGCCACGTCCTCATGGTGGGCATAGAACCCCAAGGGCTGTACTGTCCAACTCCAGCCACTCTCACTGCCCAAACATCCTCCTTGAGAAGACCCACACAGCATGCTGCCTTCCAGGGAGTGTAGGACCAGGAGGGTAGGACCAGGGCAAAGAGAATGGAGTGTGCACATCCCTCTGCGGGGGGCTGAACGGGCCCCTGAACATATACCCATGTCCTAACGCCTGGAGCCGGTGAACGTGACCTTATTTGGGAAAAGGGTCTTTGGCAGATGTAACTCAGCTAAGGTCTCTGGAGGAGATCACCCTGGATTATGGGGTGGGCCCTAAATTCAATGGCTAGTGTTCTTATAAGAGAAAAGAGCTAGAGAGTTGGGACCCAGACATAGGGTGGAGGGAGCCTCGTGAAGACAGAGGCAAAGACCGGAATGACGGGGCCACAGGCAAAGGGACACCTGGAACCACAAGAAGCTGGAAGAGGTAAGGAAGAAGCTTCCCCTAGAATCTTGAGAGGGAGCACGGCCCTGTGGGCACCTTAATTTCGGATTTCCGGCCTCCAGAACTAGGAGACAACAAACATCTGTTGCTTGAAGCCCCCCCGTTTGTGGTGACTTGTAACAGGAGCCCCAGAAAACAAACACAGCCTCCTCCGCGCAGCTGAGTTGTGACACGGAGCAGCCACTCTGGACATACCAGCGTGTGTGCGGAGACCTGAGCCCCACTCTCCTGGCTGTGAGACCTCAGGCACCAGACTTAACCTCAGGGTACCCCGTGAAGGGGGCTGGTTGACCTGTTCCCCTGGGGCTGTAACGTGCAGACAGTGGAGCGGCCTCAATGCCAGGCATGTGCTTTCTAAACCCTGATGCGCTCCCCGTTTCTGGCAGCCTCAAGCCCTCCTTGGCTTGTAGCCCCATCACTCCAGCCTGAGCCAGTCTTCACATGGCCTTCGTCCTGGGTCTCTGTGTCCTCTCCTCCTCTTACAAGGACACAAGTCACTGGAGGTAGGATCCACCCTGTATCTGCATGGTCTCATCTTGAGGTCCTTAACTAGTTACACCTGCAAAGATCCTGCTTCCAAAGAAGATCACGTTCCAAGTTTCAGGGTAGCCATGAATTTTGGGAAGACACCACTCAAGCCACTCTAGTCGCCCAAGACAGATGGAATGAGGGACTTCCCCACCCACAAACACAAAGATCCCACAAATGACCTCCACATAGAGTAGAAAGGACTTCGCCTTCTCCATGACTTGGCTTAGCTAGGATTTCATTTTCTTCCTCATAAACCCCAGCCCCGGTCACCCGATAGCATTGATCCTTGCGGCTGTGTAGAAGGGCCCCAGAAAGGACCAGGAGGCTGTCCGGGTGGCGGGAGTTGGCAGAGGGTCCCCACCATTGTAAGCAAATCACTTACACCTCCCTGGGCTCCCGTTTCGGAGTCATGAAATGAGAAGGTGGCAGAGAAGGCGCCATTTTGGAAATGGGAGACTTTTTTACAGACATGTATCTACACATCTTAGGCACACACCTAAGTGTGCTCAAACCGCTCACAGCTCTACAATCCACATCAAGATCAAGAAGCAGCATCTTTGGCCCCCAGAGGTCCCTTCTGGGAACTACTGGCCCTCCAACAGAAACCACTCTCTTGACTTCTAACAGCACAGGTAATTTTTTTTTTTTTAGATGAGGTGAAATTCTTAGAACATATAATCTACCATTTTAAAGTGATCAGTTCAGTGGGATCTGGCACATTCATGAAGTCACATAGCCATCACCCCATCTAGCCCCAGGGCATTTTCATCCCTCCAGAAGGAGACCCCACACCCATTAGCGGTCACCAACCGCCTCCCACCAGTCTGGTATCTGTCTCTTTAGATTTGCCCATTTGGGACATTCCATATAAGTGGAGTCTTGGATTATGTGACCTTGTGTCTGGCTTCTTCCACTCAGCACCATGATTGTGAGGGCCGTCCCTGCTGCGTGTCAGCATGTGTCAGTGGGTGTCAGCGCGTCTCTCTTTTTTATGGCTGAATCGACCACATTTTATTTATCCATTCATCCATTCATGGACATAGGGGTTTTTTCCCCATTTGGGGCATTGTGAATACTGCCGACAGATTCATCTTTGCCTGTCTTCATATTTCATGTAAAGAGAGTCACGTAAGTATGTGTTCTTTGAGCTGAGGTTGGCTATGCCATGGTGGGGAAACATTTGCGGTCTTTCCTCCAGTGCCCTTAGCTGGCAGACAGCCCTGGGCACCATCTGTCCTTTGTGGCAATGGGGTGGGGGTTCTGGAGGTAAGACACTCGGCTCCCCAAGAAGGTCCAGGTGGGAGATCTTGCCAGGAGTCCCCCAAAGCTTTCCAGCTAACATTGGAAGATGGTGGGGGAGGATGGAGGAACTGTGTGGGGACGTGTCACACCAGGCTGGGTGTGGACCTCTCACTGCCCCCAACAACCCTCACCTGTGGAGGGCTCAGCCTTGCCCAGGAGCCTTCGCTTGTCCCTGGATCCCACTGTGGGGAGGCCCCTGTGTAATGACCAATAATGGCTAGCTCTTCAATGTCATTAATTATCCAGTTATGGAACCCAAATGTATCTTACCTGGTGCTTCAATTAACTGCTTGTAAACACTCAGGAAAGCTGCCTCGGCCTCCTGACTTCTCTTACTAAGGGCCACCACCTTTGGAAACAAGAGAGAGAGTCATGTGTAACCATGGCATCCGAGTCTACAAGGAAATATGATCACTTTCCTACATGTGCAAACATGGGATGGGGGGAGGTGAGGGGAAATGAAAGTCAAAAGTATGGAGTTAGAAAGTCCAGGTTTGGGCACCTGGCTGGCTCAGTGGGTTAAGACTCTGCCTTCGGCTCAAGTCATGATCTCAGGGTCCTGGGATCGAGCTCCTCATTGGGCTCTCTGCTCAGCAGGGAGCCGGCTCCCCCGCCCCCCCGCCCCCGCCAACTCTGCCTGCCTCTCTGCCTACTTGTGACCTCTCTCTCTCGGTCAAATAAATAAATAAAATATAAAAGAAAGAAAGAAAGAAAGAAAGAAAGTCCAGGTTCAAATCCTGGCCCCGCTGCATTTTAGCTGTGACCTCGGGCACGTCATTGGCCCTCCCTGATCTAAGGTTTTCTCATCTGAAAAATGGGGGAAAAATGGAACCTACCTTCTGGGTCTCTTCTGGGGACGGAATGAAATTACATGTAAGTGCTTAGCATAGGGCCTGGCACACAGCAGGTTAATAGCTATTATTATTGTTTTTGTTATGAAAGGGTCCTGCTGGAGATCCAGATGTGACACATGTTCTGGGGGAAAGTGGCACACATCTGGGGAATATTTCTTGACACTGAAAATTACAGAGAACTCGTTAAAACTCTTGTGAGATGTCAAACAGCTCAACGAATGCTTCCTGGCTGATGAAAACACAAACGGCTCTATAACCCCATTGTGAAGAGCTACCTTCCTACGTTTGTTCTCTTGCTCACAGACTTTTTCGTTCTGCCAGTGATGTTCCTTAAGATAAGGTGGGCAAGACATTTCTGGGGCTCAGCACCATCTCATCCCTCCTTGTCCTTGGCTAGGAATTCCAAGCTCTGGCTTCACAGCTGCCTTGGTGCTGGCTCTTGGTAGCCAGTTTCTCTGGCATCATCCTGGGCCTCTCCAGCACACGGCAGGTGTGAGCTCCTGGTACCTGCAGGTCACCGTCCCTACATCCTCGAGAACACTCTGGGTGGGGTATCTCCCTTTGCATTGGAACATCTTCATTCTCCCTGACAATGATATACCTCTCCCTCTGGTGCCATCTTCTTCAATGATGAATCTATGGGGAGGATCTACGTGTCAATCTCCCTTTTTCAGAGGTGGGCTTCTCTTACCAATCCCAGGGACGCCACTTGGGGGAGTGTCTGTTATCAAATTCCTTCCCTTGACATGAGCTCTGTGAATGCACAGAAGGTGCTCAACACAATTTGGGGGATGAGCAAATCTAAGAGGGTTGGTTGCCCCAACTCTAGGTCCTGTTTGTGACACCATTTTGGAGAAATGACAAGGGCCAATTCTGAGATGGTCTATTCAGAGAAGGGCCAACTAAGGCACAAGCCTTGGATCCAGGCCACCTGGGTTCAAATCCCAGGTCCATCACTTACTATCTTTGTGTCTTTGAGTGGACAGGTCATGGCAATCCCTGTGCCTCTACTTCCCCCTCTGTAAAATGCAAATAATAACACCACACCCTCCCTTGCTGGAGGGTCAGATGATTTAACACATACAAATCCCTTTGTAAATCTTATGGGATACATTAAGCCCCGTATAGGTCACCTCTTGGTATGACCAACCCCTTCCTTCTTGCCTGTTACGGAGACAAGTTCTGTCCAGTGCTGGGTGATAAACCCCAGCTGTGCTTATCTAGCGTCCTACAAAGACCACCTAAGAAAGGCTCCGCCTCCACACCTCGCAGTGCATACTGGGAAGAAGAATGTGAAAACCACAGTGGTTCTTGTAAGGCCTCCAATATGGCAGCCGCAAATCACAGGTGGCTCTTGAGCACTTGAAATGCAGCAAGCACAGATTGAGATGGGCTGGGAGTGCAAAGTGCACACAAGGTTTCAAAGACTTAGCAAGAGAAAAAGAATGGACAACAGCTCATCATGTATACTGGTTACATATTGAATTGGTAACCTCTTGGATATGCTGGGTCAAATAAAATCTTTTACTAAAATTCATTTCACCTGTTTCCTTTTACTTATTTTTCAATGTAGATACTACAACCTGTAAAAATACATCCATGGATCACATTATATTTCTATTGGACAGCATAGCCTGAAGGTTTTATGAGGTCCACAGAGAATTCGTTGTTTAAGAGAGGTGGAGGGAAATGTATGGTGGACGTTGAGCAAATGATTTTAAAAAGGTCAGTTACGAAAATTCCCTAAGCTCTCTTGTTATTCTGCGAACAGTGTCTGGTCTTTTAAATTCCAGAGGGAATGATAGTCTCTCATTCACTCAACAAACACTTCCTGAGCACCTACTATGTGCTCTGTGCTGGGAGCTCATCGATGGATGATGCAGACTGGAGCCCTGCCCTCATGGGACTCAGTCTAGCAGGGAGACTGAGATCAAAGCAGATTCTCCAGGTCACTCATTAATTACAAATGCTAAATGCTTCGAAGGGAAAGTACAAGGGGGCCTTGAGAGTATGTTAAGTGGGGAGAAGCTGGTCCAGTTTGGTAGAGGGAACATTACGCATTATCTCCTGGAGAAGAGAAAGACAACGGCAAACATAAAGAATGTTCCAGGGGCACCTGCGTGGCTTAGTGGGTTAAAGTCTCTGTTTTCGGCTCAGGTCATGATCCCAAGGTCATGGGATCGAGCCCCACATTGGGCTCTCTGCTCAGCAGGGAGCCTGCTTCCCTTCCTCTCTCTCTGCCTGATTGTGATCTCTGTCAAATAAATAAAATCTTAAAAAGAAAGAAAGAAAGAAAGAAAGAAAGAAAGAAAGAAAGAAAGAAAGAAAGGGAAAGAAAGAATGTTCCAGGATCTAGGAAAGGGAAAAATCAACTGCAGGTCGATTTTTGATCTTGCTGAAATAGACAAGGCACAGTTCCTGTTCTGGGGACTTAGAACTGAGTGGGGGACACAGCTACGTCCAAGAGGAACCACAACATGGGAGAAGGTGATGCAAACACTAGAAAGCAATTAATTCTGAGTTTTGGGGGGGCAACCTTGATGGGCCAATAATAATAATCATCATTGTTGTAATATTCAGCATTTACCATGTCCCAGATGCTCTTACTCTCCATGATCATCTCTCTCCATGGACACACCAATCAGTAAAGGTAGCTGCTGTCACTATCCCTACTACATAGATGAGAAAACCTCGATGACACTGAATAACTTGCCAAAGGTCACCAGTAAGTAGACGGCACAGTGGGATTCATACGAGGTCTGGGGGTTCAAATTCTTGCTCTGATCCAGATGCTGGGCCCTTTCTCCTGGATAGAGAAACCATCCCACTCAGTGGGGATAGTTGCTTGGACCCTATATGTTGCCTCGTGACATCATCTATGGCTGTACCAGGTCATAGGCTACTGTGTTGCTGATCTGAAGCCCAGGAAAGCTATGAGAAATGAAAGCAATTCATCTTCTGAGCCCTAGATGGGAAATTATCAAAGACGAGCCAGCAAAGTCTGAATCTTTCATTTTACAGTCATCTATGCTGAGCATGTGTGGGGCTTGGGAAAAGGCATAAGAACGTTGCATTGACTTGGGGCCCCTGGGTGGTTCAGTTGCTTAAGCGGCCGACTCTTGTGTTTCAGCTCAGGTCATGATCTCAGTGCCATGGGCCTGAGCCCCGCGTCCAGCTCTGCACTCTGTGCACAGCCTTTGGATTCCCTCTCCTTTCAGCTCATGCATGAGCCCTCTGTCTCTCTCTCAAATAAATAAATAAAATCTTAAAAAAAAAAAAAAAGGGAATGTTCCATTGACTGCTAAAAAGGAACTATGAGCAGGGTTGGGGCAAATACCAGAAGAATTGCTTCAATGCTTCCCTGTCCCTGCCTATAGTGCCTTTTGCTTTCTTCTCACGGTGCTTATCAGTTCGTAAGGGCATGTTGTTTACCAATGTGATTGTCTCCTTATGATATTGGTCTGCCCACTGGAGCTACACTGTCCAATAGAGCAGCCGCTGGCACATGTGGCCACTAAACACTTGAAATGGGACTATTCCAAATTCAGATGGGCTATGGGTGTAAAATATGGGATTTTTAAGTCTCAGGATGAAAAAAGGGTTGTAAAATACCTCAGCACTTTTTTAAAAAAGATTTTATTTATCTGAGAGAGAGAGAGAGAATGAGCAGGAGTGGGGGGAGGCAGGACAGAGGGAGAAGCAGGCTCTCTGCTGAGCAGGGAGCCCAACAGGGCGCTCAATCCCAGGACCCTGAGATCATGACCTAAGCCTAGGGCAGATGCTTAACAGACTGAGCCACCCAGGCAACCCATCTCAGTAACTTTGTATTGATTTTATGTGAAATGATAACACTGTGGAATTACTGGGTTCAGTAAAATATATTATTAAAATTAAACTCACCTGTTTCTTTTTACTTTGTAATGTAGCTATTAGAAAAATTTAAATTACATATATGGCTTGCATTATATTTCTACTGGATAGTGTTGGTCTAAATCAAGGGTTGGGGGTTGGCGAACTATGGTCCTTAGGCCAAATGTGGACCTTCATCTGTTTGTGTAAATAAAGTTTTCTTGGAATACAGTTGCAGCCATTCTTTTATTTATTGTCTATGGCTGCTTTCATGCTATAACGGCCTAGTTCCATAGTTGTGACAAAGACACTGGCTGTAAAATAAAAAATATGTGGGGGCACCTGGTTGGCTCAGTCAATAGAGCATGTGACTCTTGGTCTCGGAGTCATTGAGTTTGAGCCCCATGTTGGGGGTAGTGATTACTTAAAATAAGATAAAATAGGGGTGCCTGCGTGGTGAAGCATCTGACTCTTGGTTTTGGCTTGGTCGTGATCTCAGGGTCATGAGATGGGGCTCTATGTTGGGCTCTGTGCTCAGCGGGGAGCCTGCTTGGGAGTTCTCTCCCTCTGCGCCTTCCCCCTGCTCACACATGCGTGCTCTCTCGTTGTCTAAAATAAATAAATAAATAAATAAATACATACATAC